TGGATGAGGGGGAAACATAGTCACAAAGGCTGAGGAAAAGGCTGAGATACTTAATGCCTTCTTTGCCTCAGTCTTTAATAGTACAACCAGTTGTTCTCCAGGTACCCAGACCCCTGAGCTGGAAGACTTGGATGGGGAGCAGAACGAAGCCTCTATAATCCAAGGGGAAACAGTTAGTGACCCACTACACCACTTAGGCACATGTGAGTCTGTCGAGCCAGATGGGATCCAGCCAAGGGTACTGAGGGAGCTGGCAGTAGTGCTCAGCAAGCTACTCTCCATCATTTGTCAGCAGACCTGGCTATCCAGGGAGGTCCAAGTTGACTGGACATTAGCACATGTGACACTTGTGTACATGATGGCTGGAAGGAGAATCCAGGGAGCTACAGGCCTGTCTGTCTGACCTTGATGCTGGGTAAGGTTATGGAGCAGCTCATCTTGAGTGCCATCACACAGCACGTACAGGACAACCAGGTGAGGAGGCCCAGTCAGTATGGTTTTATGAAAGGCAGGTCCTGCTTGACTAACCTGATCTCCTTCTCTGACAAGGTGACTGCTTAGTGAATGAGGGAAAGGCTGTAGATGTTGTCTATATAGACTTTGGCACTATTTCCCAACAGCATTCTCCTGGAGAAATTGGCTGCTCATGGCTTGAACTGGCGTACGCTTCGCTGGGTAAAAAACTGGATGGATGGCCAGACCCAGAGAGTTGTGGGGAATGGAGTTAAATGCAGTTGGCGGCTGATCACAGGTGATGCTCCCCAGGGCTCAGTATTGGGGTCAGTTCTGTTTAATATCTTTGTCAATGATTTGGATGAGGGGATTGAGTGCACCCTCAGTAAGTTTGCAGATGACACCAAGTTGGGTGGGAGTGTTGATCTGCTTGAGGGTGGGAAGGCTCGACAGAGGAATCTGGACAGGCTGGATCAATGGACCAAGACCAAGTTGTATGAGGTTCAACAAGGCTCAGTGCTGGATCCCGCACTTGGGTCACAACAACTCCATGCAGCGCTACAGGCCTGGGGAAGAGTGGCTGGAAAGCTCCTTGGCAGAAAAGGACCCAGGGGTATTGGTGGACAGCCAGCTGAATATGAGCCAGCAGTGTGCCCAGATGGCCAAGAAGGCCAATAACATCCTGACTTGTATCAGAAATAGCGTGGCCAGCAGGACAGGGGAAGTGATCGTTCCCCCTGTACTTGGTACTGTTGAGGCTGCAGTGATACTTGTGTGATACAAGTGATACTTGATGCTGTGTTCAGTTTTGAGCCCCTCACTACAAGAAAGACACTGAGGTGCTGGAGTGTGTCCAAAGAAGAGCAACGAAGCTGGTGAAGGGTCTTGAGAACACGTGTTATGAGGAGCAGCTGAGGGAACTGGGGTTGTTTCTCCTGGAGAAAAGGAGGCTGTGGGGAGACCTTGCTTCTCTCCATAACTGCCTGAAAGTTTGTAGTGAAGTGGGCGTCGGTCTCTTCTTCCAACTAACAAGCAATAGGACAAGAGGAAATGGCCTCAGGCTGTGCCAGGTGAGGTTTAGATTGGATATTAGGAAAAATTTCTTCACTGAAAGGATTATCAAGCATTTGAACAGGCTGCTTCAGGAAGTGGTTAAGTCACCATCCCTGGAGGTATTGTAGATGTGGTGCTTAGGGACATGGTTTAATGGTGGACTTGGTAGTGCTAGGTGAACAGTTGGACTTGATGATCTAAAGGTCTTTTTCCAACGTAAATGCTTCTATTATTCTATTACACTGGTGTTAAAGTATCCCTTTCTGATGTAACAGCTGTGTAGAAGGATCTTGCTGCAAAGGAAAACTGGGCTGTAGCACCTTTATCTACTGGCATGCTCTCAGGGAAGTGAGGCGAGAGGCACTGCCGGTGATGGCATATGCAAGCCTCAACACTGCTCCTGTGCTATCTCACAGCCACCTAGAGCATTGTTTAACAGCTCCCCTTTTGCAGTCTTGGGCAGAGATTATACCCTTGCTTTTCCCTCTCTGAAGCTGCAATGAAACATGTGTGAGCTCCAGGAGGTGCACAGGGACGTGAGAGTGCCAGAAGGTACGGCTGGGGAAGCACAGGTCTGCTCAGGCACACCAAGGACTTTGCCTCATCCCCTGTCACGCAAAGCAGTACCAGGCTGTTTACAGGGGTCTAGCCTGGAGGTGGTGTAGTGCTGGGACACTACTCTCCACCTTCTGAAGGAAAAGGAAATGCCGAAGGAGTGTAAGACACTGCTGTGTCCTGAGCAGCTGTAATGCTGCCTTTTGGAGGGACGGTGAGCTTTGTGAGCTCCCACTGTAGCATCACCTGGTGATGATACCCAACTGCTGGTGACCAGAAACTGGCTCCGCAAGATCTGGGGAGGTTTCCCGTCAATGGTGGGAAACTGCGGCCTGTTCTCCAGGCCTTCACGCTGGCTCCAAGGAATTCTGAGAAGGGAGGTCTGAATGGTGCGTGGGGTGGGTTGCCAAGATCATGACTGCTCCTGTTGGTGTGGAAGTGCCAGCAAGACTGCCCAGCCACTCCGCTTTGTAAAGTCTCAGTCTCTAGGACTGTGTGAGAAGTTTTGCTAGGTCTCAGCCTGCTTGCTTCTGGCTGTGCTGCAGGCTCTTTAAAGGAAGACTTTATTTACTCTGTGCCTGATGGCCTCTGTGATTTCCTCAGTGGTACCACTGATAGCTGGCAGTATTTCTCTGCTTTCAGTATCCAGTTGTGAAAACTGGAAGGATTTGCAGAGCAAAAAAAGGTGAGAGCACAACGCCAAACACCTTTCTGGCTGGGCTGTGTGCAGTAGCCCAGAGCAGCACTGGTGACTGTGTTGAAGCTTGGTGCCATCCATCTGGCCTGAGCGTTCTGGCTGGGTTTGTTCAGGAGCTGCATTGAAATCTCAAGCTGGCTGGTGACCACTTGTTCCTTGCGATTGATTCCTTGCAGTCATGGCTGGTTTTGTGCACTCTGATGTACGTGATCAGACTTGTGGAAGTGAAGGATTGTTGACCTCCCAACCTCACGCCTATCTCAGGTGCTGCTTCTGTCTTCTTGCTTGCTTGTATAGATAGAAAGCAGCACTTCTGGTCCTTCTTTCTTGCTGGCTGATGACTACTTCCAGTTCATTTCTCACCACAGTGATGTGTCCTTCCATTTTCCTTGACTGATGACAGAAGGGAACCCTATTTCGTTTCACTTTGTGTATTCGTTTTCCTATATTCTTCCTGGGTCTATGTCGATTTGTACTCACCTGTTGCCTTGTATCTTCTTTATCTCTCAGTGCTGCATCATGTTTGTTCTCCCTTCTTCCCATGGTCTTCAGGAGATTTTTTTATGGTCTGTAATTCAGGAGTGCATTCCAGGACTGTCCTGTAGGATCCAGAGTTGTAGCATGGTGTTACCAAGGTCTGAGGTATCCTTCAGGCCCTCAATGTGCTGCAGAAGTATCTGAAGAGCTCTTTGGAGTATGCTTGGTTTGCAGGTCTATGCTGGTAAGCTGGACTGGTGGTAGCACTTTGCTGAAATGCTGCCTGATCTGTGGCCTGGGTTTGACATAGAGAGCTGCTGGAGAAGGTTGTCCAAGATAAGCCATTGCAGAGCAGTCTTTAAGATTAACCTTTCTGACCCTGGGTCTTTAGTATCAGAAATTTATAGACAATGTGCTTCCAATAAATTCCTCCAAGCAGCCCATTCTGCATTTGGCAGGCAGGCAGGCTTCTTAGATCAGCACACATGCACGCTTAGCCTCAGAGCTGAGGTTAGACTTAATCTGTTGGCTAGAGGCTGACCAGATGTTTGAGTGAATCTGGAAGCCTGAACTCTTACTTAGACATGCAAAGGCTACCTCTTCCTGTCTGTGCAAACAGATAGAAACTGTTTGTGTCCATGGCTCCCGTAAGGGCTGCTGTACCAGCAGGGTGCATGCTGTAGGTGATGGAGGTCATGCCTGCTGCTGGTGTAAAGTGGCTTGGCAGGATCCAGGCAAGATCCATTTTGCCCCATCTGCTCTTCTATCCTGCGGGATTACTTAGGGCTTGAGGAGAGCCCTGCCCTCTGGTATTCCTGGGGTTGCTGAGCGGCACATTTTGCAGTGCCACAGACTTAAGGTCTGATACTGACTTCCTGATGGCTGTGGTTTTTGAGAGATTTTAAAAGCTAATGTAAAGAAAGAAGCTTGTTCCTCCTCTGCGTTTAAAAGAGTATGCCCAGAAAAACAGGCTGACTTTGGCCTGCAGAATTTCTTCCCTAATTTCCGAGGCATTGCATGCTCTTCTTTGCTCCTTAAGAAAGAAGAGAACTGGGCTGTGAAGGATCTTGACTGTCTGTCTGTCTGCCATGTGCTTTATCCTGTAAAACTGTATTACTACCTGCTCCAGCAAGTCTGCCTGCCTGCTGTGTTTTGTGTTACTCATTTGTTTGGTGTCTCGCTCAGAGCAGAAAGTTCTCCCGAGATGCTGTGGCATCTCCACATCTCTGCTGTGACAGAAAGTTCTCCCTCTGACTACGCGTCACAGCAGTTTCTTTGAGAAAAGTTGCTGTGCTGTGCTGAAGTGAGAGGCATCAAGGTGAAGGTGATTGAAACCCTGCTGTTCTGGTCTGCTTCAGCAAAGTGATGCCAGCTTTTGACTCAATAAATTATGGAAGCTGCATAAGCCTCTTGCCTGGAGCGTGGCCTGCTTGGCCTGAGCCCTGCTGCTGGTTTTGGCAGATACCTGGATGATGAGCCTGGGGTGGCATTACTGTTGAAAAAAGACTTAGTGTTGCCTTTCAGGAGGAGAAAGCCAGGGCCAATTTTCTTGTGTTTTTAATCAAAATTGAATTTTGACCTCAAGACCTGAGGAAAAGGATAGTCAAAGAGGACTCTGTGAGCAAAGCTGCTTTATGAAGTCTGTGCTCTCAAGTTGCTGACCCAGGTGACCTGCTGGCTTGGCACCATTTTTTCCTTAAGCCCTGTACTGCAGTGGCCTAGTGTGAGTGTCTGTACTTACTCTGCTGTGTCTCCCTCTCCCCAGCAAAGCGAGCTGAACTCCTTCCTGTGGACCATCAAGAGAGATCCTCCGTCTTACTTCTTTGGCACCATCCATGTCCCATACACACGTGTCTGGGATTTCATCCCAGAGAACTCCAAGAAAGCCTTCCAGCAGAGCCACATCGTATACTTTGAGCTGGACCTCACTGATCCCTACACCATCTCAGCTCTCACCAGCTGCCAGCTCCTGCCGCAGGGAGAGAACCTCCAGGACGTGCTGCCCCGTGACATCTACCGCCGGCTCAAGCAGCACCTGGAATATGTCAAGCTCATGATGCCATCTTGGATGACTCCAGACCAGCGGGGCAAAGGGCTGTACGCAGACTACCTCTTCAATGCCATTGCTGGCAACTGGGAGCGGAAGAGGCCAGTGTGGGTGATGCTGATGGTAAACTCTCTGACGGAGGTAGACATCAAGTCGCGAGGCGTGCCCGTCCTGGATCTGTACCTGGCCCAGGAAGCAGAGCGGCTAAGGAAGCAAACGGGTGCTGTGGAGAAAGTGGAGGAGCAGTGCCACCCACTTAATGGGCTGAACTTCTCCCAGGTGAGACGCAGTGGTGTGCAGGGTGCCAGGCTGGCTGCTCGGTGGATGTCCCAGCAGCAAGAGCACAGGCAGGAGCATGGGGTAAGTGCTTTCTACGCAGAGCCTCATCTTTGCTCCCTGCAGCCCATGCCTCTGCCTGTGCACTGCACCTGGGAGAGTTTGCTAGCTGTAGAAGTTCAGGCCACGTCCTAAATTAATTTAGACCTGGCATGGGGAAACCTTTCTCCTCTTCTCTGGGCAGCCTTAGGCAGGCTCCACCCTCAGAGATACGGGACCTTTGGATGTCTTCTCTCTGACCCTGGCTGGGCTGCCCTGCAGGAGCCTGGGGCAGGCTGGGGCTCAGTGTCTAAACTTGCTTTTTTAGTAGCTAGTTAAGGAGGAAGGTGCAATCACTTAGGGGAAGCAGTGGCGCTGTGAGTAAAGCTGAGAAGTAACTGCTGCCTGGAAAATTATCCCAGTGGACCTCTCTGTGCCCTCAGAAATAGGGGCCCATCCTCTACACTGGGAAAAGTGTTTTTTGGTTTTGTTTTGTTTTTTTTTTTTCCCTTCCCTTGAGCCTTGGTGAGGGTCAGCACTGCACAGCTTCCTGCAGAGAGCTCCGCAGGCTAGTGCAGACCCTTGTGAAGTGCCTTGGTGTTTGCAAATCAGTTGGAGTTCAGCACCGTTGTTCATGCAGTGTCACACCAGGCAAGCAGAACGACCACTGTGTTGGATGGGGCCGTCACGGCCTCTCCTCTCTGAACTAAATACACCAGGGAACAGCATTTGTGGCTGTGTCTGCCTGCCCGGTGGGATGACAAGCAGATATAAGGTTACTTTCTGACCTAGGGTACCTTTGCTGCAGGGAGGTGCTAGTTTGAGGAGATGAAGTGGTGTTTGCTTAGGAATAGGTGAGACCTGTTGTTGCAGCACGCTCTGATAGTCCAAAGTGGGAGGGCCTTTGGTCATGGGACTGGAGAGTTTTGACTGATGCCTCACCCTTTCCCCTGCATCCTGAAGCCTGTCCCATCACTGATGCAGTTTCCCATGCTGGAAGGGAAGGAGCAGAAGGGGAGGTGCATCCCAGCAAGGACAGGGACAGCAGTACAAGGCAGATGGCTGAAGTGCTTCTACCCTGGCCAGTCTTGGTGGGGGGCCACAGTGGAAAGAATAGCACGGCAGCACAGGGTGCATTGCTTGTGCAGCTCTTAACCACAAGCAGAGCATCTACACTGCTCTCTTCCCTTGTTTGCAGCTGGGCAGCCTCATTTGTATCTCCCGTCTTTTGCTTAACTGTGCTTTGAATCTTTGTGCTACTGCTGTTTGCTCGAAGCCACCCTGGGAATGGGCTGGGAAGTCCCATCTCCTCCACCTCTTACCTGGTTGAGGCTTTATTAACATTATTGCCTGTGCTTTTCTTTTCAGAACACTGCCCCTCTGGTTTAGCATGATAGAAGGGGGTGGGAGAAGCATGTGCTTTCTCCGCTGGTTTGTAAGTCAGTGGGAGGGAGGCTGAAACGTATAGGTTGCAAATCGTGTCCACATTAAGCTCATGTAACTGTTGACACTTACTTTAGGCCTTCATGCAGATTTCTTCAAAGAGCTTCTGTTGCTGTGAGGTTTTGCAATATTTGCAAAATTACCATGTGAGCTGGGAAGCTGCGTGGGGTAGGAACACAGAGCTGCAACATCCAGAGTTGCCCGATCTGGTGATATTTATTGTGAGAGCCCAGCTGAGGGGGTCAGGGTGACCAGAACTACGGAAGAAACTTAGTTCTAGTCAGGAAAATCACAGCTCGTGATTACCCCACGGTGGGTGGGGAGCTGGTGCTCTTCCCACGCTTGCTTGCTTCCAGGGGGAAGGAGCACGCTGTCCCTGGTGGGAGTAGGTCTGGAGCAGCTACTGTGCTGTGAATTCACACCCTCATTTCTGCCCACTGCTAGATTTCCATTACAGACAGCTCAAGGAAAAGGAGAACCAGAGGCAGATGGTTTTTATGTTTCTAAGCTAATTTCATGGTTGTTTCAGAACCCGACTTGTGAACTCTTATGGCTGGCAATTCTGTAAATCCTGGATTTCAGAGCTTTCTTCTCAGTTTGTCCAGGCAGTTGGGTTAATTATGTGTTTAATACAAACCAAACAAAGGTTTTGAAATAGGCTTTTTCAAAATTATTTCCTTTGGTATTGTGCTGCTGTCTGGGAACCCCCAGCATCAGACCGCTCTGTGTCTGCCTTCCAAGTGAGTGAACACACAGGGACAACTTAAAAACTTCTGCTGGGGAAAATGGGGACACAAAACCATAAGGAATGGTCTAATCTCATACAAGAAATGTTTTTTTGTTGCAGTAGAGTTGCAGAGAGATGATTTACTTGGTGGAAAAGCAAGTTTAGTGCTCTCAGTTTATGTTCCTGCATAGTATTTTCTTTCTTTCGCTTAGAACATGGTTGTACTACCTGTTGAGGAGGCCTCCCAGGCCATTTACAAGCAATACGTTGTTATTAGCTAGGTCCCTCTTTTGATCCATACTGTCTGACAAGGCCTGGTGGTGTGGGTATGTTATTGCATGTGAAGGTCTGAAATAGTTTGTTATTGATTGTATCTGTGAGCTTGCACAATGCTCAGTAACTGCAAAGTGCAGACAAACCCAAGCTAGAGACTTCTGTCTTCTTGTGAGGAGAGAGAGAGGGGGAGAAAAAATAAAATAAAAAAACCTACACATACAACAACTAACACTGCCTGTCGTGGAGCTCTTGGGCTGTATTTGTTCCAGTTTCCTCTATGTTTTATGACTCTTCTTATTCTACCTGCCAAATCTCTCTGTTCTTGCTCAACCTGCCCACATATCCAGGCCATAAAAGTATCATTTCTATATGGTACACAATGATGTGTACATAATCTGTGAAATACTTTACTGCTTCCCCAACCCCTTTCTCTTGTTCCACAATCTATGCAACTTTAGGGAGTATGGAAAGATTAGTCTGTCTCCATGCCAGGCCTATGGTGTTTATTTTCCCGTTTCATGTCATTTCTATCTTAGCTTGTCTTAAAGACTTTTTTCTCCCACCGCATCTTCTTTCATGGATAGTGTCTCTCTTGTTGCAATACCCTATAAGGATGCAAGTCTCATTCCTAGCAGCATCTGGGCTTCTAGAAGATAAAAGGCTTTGTAGCTATACACAATCTGCCACTGCTGACTTCCAGCACTGGAGTCAGTCTCAGACCTCCCAGCTGTTCCTTTCAAGTTAAGCATGTGCTTACATGTCTGCTGGTTTGGAGGCATTAGTGCCTCACCCTAAAGCCCATGCAGCTTTGCTGTTGGCTCCAGCTGCAGTGTCATGAACATCAGTTTGATATTGGCTCAGATAATGAGCTGGCCTTGGCCTGTGCCATGCCATGCACTTGTAAACAGGCTGTGCTTTGGCACACTCAGGTGGTATCCAGGCTGTGTTTCTCACAGATCAGTTTGAGCTTGAACACAAGTTTGGACTTGTGTCTGCCCTCTGTGTGGGATCGAGGCTTATTTGTGTAAACACTGTCCAGCCATCACCACTTCCTAGCCAAGACTTTGGCCAGTTTGGCTTCTCCAAGCTTTGGACACTTGGGCTCTACCTCTTAGCTGTTCTTGATTTGAGAATTGTTTTCCCCATGTGGCTTTCCTCTGTCCAGACCTTGCCACAGCACTCTGTTGCTACCCAAGCATCTGAATATGTAGCTACATCTTCAAAAGTAATCTTCAAAGCTGCTTGGTTGGCGCTAGAAAGCAGGGAGCCACCTGGCTCCAGCTCTGGGACTGAGCACTTGAAGGTTTCGTCTTTTGCGGCTTTCAGCCACTTCCTCATGCAATTGGTTGCAGAGATAAATGAAGCCAAAGCTTCTAGGATTGTTAATTTTTGTTTTAATTAGGACATTAATTGTTCATGCGTCTACTCAAAGAGCAACCTCGGCAAGTAACAAAGTGATGAGAGATTCCTGCTTCTCTCTAAAGGGTTCCCAGCTCTTCCAAGTTCTGGACCGCTAACACAACTATTCAGAGTAGCATATACAAGCCTCCTGATGTAACAGCAACATCACTTTTCTTGCTTGATCTATGTACCCATTTGGGTGAAAGGGCCACCCTTGATAGCCCTGGCTATTAAACTGTCATTTAGGAGCAGCCCATATCTGTGGGGAAAGTAGGAAGCCCACCCTCCAAAAGACACCACTGCCTTGTTTGTGTGGAGGGGGAAGTTTCTTGATTTGTTTTTTTGTCCCCTTCTAAGAAAGTTAGAGAAATAGCAGTGGTAGCTTGAAATTAGGCCCAAAAGATATGGTATGAAATTGGAGAGAATCGTGCTAATCTCCTCTTTCAGAGGGCTTTTTTGCTACATTGAGTTGACCAGTTATAACGTTTGTCTTTAATTTCTGGGACGATGAGGTCAGATCTGGAAGCTTCCATTCGTGAGACCACAGTTCATGTTCACTTTTGACAACAGTGGTAACAGAGGACCTCAGAGAAAGGAAGAGCAAGGAGAGGCATACAGTGGGAGCTCTGCAAGGAATAGTTCAGATCCAAACTTGGAGCAAAGCGAACAGTTGCTTGATGAAAGAGCTGACAGAGGCGTAGAGCGCTCACTGCTGAACAAGTTGGACAGGACACTACTTGCGGCAACCTGATTGCATCTTCTGCCCTGAGGGTGTAACTTCAAGATGTATGTGTGAGGAACACCCCTCACCCTCCTCAGGTGATGGGAACATCAAGATTTGCTGCACATGAACTGGAACTGAAACAACTGAATTGATCCTATTTGCATCTTTGGCTGCTGAAGTCTGTGACCTAGATTTGGTTTTGTTTTCAGTTTGTGTTTAGGCACACCTGCAGCCTCCATGTCTAGACATCAGGGATGGGGAATGGGCTGGCTGGTGGGAACCAAAATAGGGAAGGCTTCGCATTTCTATTGTCATAATTAGAGTTTAATTAAGATCTTATTAACTACCTGGGGACTTCAAGGTTCTTCCCTGGGTGAGAGTAAAAGGGGAGTT